TCAGTGATTTAACTACTAACTACACCTGAAAAAAGTACATAAATATAACAAAATTAACAATATAGAACATAATTAGTTTGTAGCTGCTATTAACACTGATTTAGTATTAATAGTGAAATTGATAATAAAAAAAATCTTCAGGTATTTTAATCAAATACTTTAATTAGCACTAACATCAACAGAAAAACTGGAAAATATTTTACTAGCGTTTGTTTTTGTTTTTAACACCACACACCATTGTGTTTTTAAAACGTACTTTGATCACTGGAAAAAAACATAAGATTTATATCCAGAGGTATTCTTAAGCACTTTAATTTTTTTTTTTTTTTTTTTTTTTTTACTTTTTCTGATATACTGACATGCATACCCATGGTATATGTGTATACATTCAACATGATAATTAAGAGTAAAACGTACTAGTCACGGGCTGAAAATTACAGATGTATACATACTTCTGAATCAGACAACCCAAGAGCTAGGTGCTGAGGACTGAACAGAGTAGGATAGTATTTTCTTACTCAGGAGCAAGATGAAAAAGGCTGTGAAATCACGCTAAGAGAACTTCAGACCTACTTGTATAGTTCTTCTCTCTGTTCATTAGCTCTGGACCAACTTTTAGAAAACAGTACCAGTTTCATCAGAAAGTGGCAGCTAATGATACTGTATACCTCATCAAGTCATTCAGACAACCAGCAGGCTCTCTCCCAACCCTACACCCCCCATTAACAATTCCTACATGAAACTTTCAACCAGATAAAAGACTTGAACTGTTAACAAACTGGAAATTTGGAGCTCCAGGTGGTATAAAGGACTAATTTCTAGCTCTGCTTCATCCAACTATCATGAGCAATGTTAAGCAACAGAAAAAAAAAAATCCAGTCTCATTTCCATGTCTGTCCTCAGGACATACTATTGGCTAGCAGATTAACAGACCTACTGAAAACAAATTGTTTTTTTTCTAAACTACTACAGTTCAATATTTATTAACTGTATATCTGCTACACTTGCCATCACAAAGGCACATGATTATAATAGCAGGAAAGGAAAAGTACTGATTATGCCAATTCATACTTGTAAACTTTTTTTTATTATCACCTATTAATATTATTGAATGATTGCTATGACTTGTATCTATATCGAGAGAGAGAGAGAGAGAGAGAGAGAGAGAAGAACTGTACAACATAACTCATTGAATTAGAGTAACAGTAGTAAAAAAAAAGACAGAGGTTGGTGAACTATGGCCCGCAGACCAGATCTAGCCCACAGAACAGTTTGTCCCCTGGACAAGAGACTTTGGCAGCAGTCACTTTCTTGTGCCACCACAGGAAGCAGCAGCAGCAGGCACTTTTCCCACACCACCATGGGAAAAAAGCAGCAGTGGCAGCTGGGCCCTTGCACCCGACCACCTTCCCACCTCTAACTGGATCAGTCTGGCCCACCTAACAAGTTAACTGACTGTTTTGCCCCAAACAACCACTTCTTCATCTTTCCACCTCTTTCTTCTGTGCCCATCAACAATGGCACACTCTTCACTGCTAGTGCCAGGTCTCAAAAGCCATTCTGAACAGAAACCAATGAAGCACCTCATGCCTTACTTGTAAGAACCACAACTCTTCTAGCTGTTGTACAGTCAACTTTAGGCAAAATGGCAAGTAACTTCTCAAAAGAACACGCTCTATCGGGGTGCCCAACCCTCAGCATCCATGCCATAAGTGGCACATGGAGCCAGCAGATAGGGCAGGGAGGAGACAGCAAAACAACAGATCAGGGAAAGGGCAATCAGAGTGACACTCAAAGGAGGGACTTCATTCACCTTGTGGCACGCCTGCCAAAAAGGACAGCCCCCACTGCCCTATAAACTGTCCAGTCAAGGTGATTCTGCAACTAACATTATTTTCTCTTCGGTTTTTAAATTCCATTTTAAAAGTCTTCTCTATTTTATACATTGTATTCCTCCACCCTCCCAACATTTCTGCAGATCTTAAGATGTCAGCGTAACTCTGTTACAAACTGTTTAAAAGGAAAACCTATAGCTTCCCAAAGAATGTAGCTTATAAAAAATTTCAGATTTTAAAAGAACTTTCTGGGCTCTGACAAAGTGGTAACTTCATCATAATACACATGCCAAGAGAAACAGCTGCAATTTCTCTATGATCCATCCCAGGCAAACATTTTTTTTCTAACAATAAAATATTTTTTTTTAATAAAATGATAGTACTGGAAGAATTTCTTCAGTTCCTACCATGTCAATGGAGCTGTTTATGAAAAATATTATCCCAGAACACATAAGAGTCATAAAAGTCAATAGCTTTTATTTAAAAGTCAATGACTTTTAAAGTAGTAACTGCACCAGGTCTGAAACAGAAGGAAAACGTCTGTTTCTTCCATTTATATGGCCAACAATAACTTCTATATTCCAACAGGAATCATGTGTATACTGGCGGGGAGGGGAGTTTCAAAAGTACTTAATCAGGAAGCATACAATTAAATAAAAAACAGTCTCCTCAGCTACTGACCTGAAAAGCTGCACAACCACATTTGGTTCCCTAGGCATAGTCTACTGTCCATTAAAAATAATCTCTCTCTCTCTCTCTCTCCCCCTGGGCAACCAGTCTACTCTCCATTTAGTGTGTCTGTGCGCCTGTGAGCGCGCGCGTGTATTCCCCCAAAAAAATTCATGCATTTTTCAATGGTCACATCTACATCTGACACTACAGCGACATAACATTAACAGGCAAAATCTGTAGCAACACACTCCCTCATTATAGCGCACTGCTACAGTGATGTAGCAGCAAAAAAAATAACCACGCGCAACTGGCATGGTGCAGTAGGGTTGGGTTGTTACTGCACCATCATTTAGTACTTCCAGAAAGGAGTACGCTAAGTGACGTTTACTACTTCCAAAAGTACTAAATGATGGCATAGTAATAAAGGTGCCATATGCCCACATGCATCACAAACATAGTACAACTGAAAAATAAATCAAAATAGCAGATGCCTCACAACTACATTTGTAGCAAGCAGGCAGACTCCTCTACATCAAAAGATAGTTAAAAAAAATGAAAAACAACAAACAATGCTATTTCCCCATTTCAGCTACACAGTGAAAAACATCACAATGAGGTGCCCAACTACAATATTCCAGAACTCCCACCCTTATCTCATTCTACTTTGGGAAAGTTACCTCTCCAATGAGGCAGGTAACTTATCCCATCTAAACTGCCAAATACAGAGAGCATACTTCAGGAAACAGTAGACAGCATATTATGATCCTATGCATAGCTGGGAGCAAGCTGTCCTCCATTAATGTACAAATGCAGCCAGAGTCAGCCAAGCTATCACCTGAAAGTTCAAAAAGACTCAAAATACATTTTTAAACTGAACTCCTTAACAAACAGGAGATGGGGGTGGGGAGGTGAAAACAGAGCATAAGTTACTGGGTTAACTTTTCTAATGAGGTACATTACTGCTCAGATCTTATGTGTTTCTGTTGCAGTAAAAAAACTGAAATGCTCAGAGACAGTGTCAGGTTTAGACTTGGAATCATTGAAGGGAAAACATCTATACTCCATGATTTTTTTTTAATATCATTTGTTTAGAATATAGCTCTTAAGGGACCAGCTAGAACATGGACTCTTTAGCTATTATTCTTAATTTAATAAGACTTAAAATCTGAAGATGCATGAGAAGCCACAAAGCAGCTTTCAAATGCCCTTTGCTTAGTGATTTCAAGGGTTCTGCCAAAGTAAAGATTAGTAGCCCAAAATATATTCCCTGTTAAATCCATCTGACTGTTTCACCCTAGCTTACATGTGTCACTCCAAATAACTTTCCAGAGATGTGACTTTAGTGGAGAGAGCCAAAGATGGCCATTATCTTTTAAAAGAATGAGCTTACTTCTTAGCATTCCAGTACTAGCTTTCTCTGCCACACTTTCAGTTCTGAGGAATCAACAGGAAAAAAATAAATCCTTCTAGATGCTCCAACAAGATTTCATACAATAAAACTTCCCTGTAAAGCTGACCTCAGCAATGTATACCCACATGTCCCATTTTTCCCTGTTGGATAACATGCATTCATAAAAAAATTGCACATAATTTGGATTTGAGCCAAGCCCAGTTCTCCATCTGCAGCTTTGAGGGATACATATCCTCCAGCCTTGGGATGAAATCTTCTTTAAACTGCCTGATAAATAAGGAACACTGATCCACAGAGAGAGAAGACCTCATTATTATGAGTTCGTCCCCGCGTCTGCAAATCAACATGTCCTGGACCCATATAAAAGAGAAAAAACAGTATGCACTGGCAGGTCAAGCTCTGACAAATAAGTTGTCTTCCACCAAATCAACATTTGCAACCCATTCCAGTAGAGTAGGCCACTAATCAATCTGAACACAGCCTTAGGTAGAGAACCTTCCCCATTATGCAATCTTAAAGACTGAGTGAATGGGGTATTTAAACATCTAGAGAGATGTAGAATGGTCTCACATCACAGCTTATAACTGTAATGAACCAAGTTCCTAAGATTCCAGGACCATTTGAGAACAATGGAACAAAATGTACTCAGTTCCAACTGGCCCACATACATTAATTCCATCATAAAGAGCATTTTCTTCCCAGGTAACGTACCTCTCTGCATGATTACCAAAACCCTATTGCAGGACTTCAGTGAAAAGCTACTCATTTAAAAATAAGTTTGTGTCAACAGTACCTTACCTTTTTTGATGATGAATTAAGAAGCGTAGGGTCTCAACTTGCCATGTATAAAAATAGGTGTTCATAGATGTTCCTTTAACAGGATTTTCTTTATTTTTATTAGAAAATGGATGTTTTGCATATACAAATTATTTTTAAAATGGTTTTCCAAATTTACAACTGGGAACTTTAATATAACAAATATATCTCACTATTGTTCATCTGTCCCCTTTTCTTGTAAAATGACAATCAGGCATACTAAAAATATAAATGGTCAAAGATACTTTAAAAAAAAGTTTACTTACATCATACTTTGCAGTTCAGGAGTGAAGCTTGTTGATTTTCCTATCCCCCTTCCACTGCTTGAAGAGGCAATAGCTGACATCGGGCTAGCTGCAGTATTGCTCATCTGAGTAAACAGAAAGAAACAATAGAGCTTGCAAATGTTTTAATTTAATAAATAGAGCATATGGGAAATGGTAACAATTATAAACCACTTCACAAAGTGTATGTGGTTTAAAATATCCAGCCTACTATTATGTTTCATGCTGAAGTTCATAATGTCTTTTATTCAGCACTGCAAGAAAATTATTTTCTCTATTGAAAGTACAAATTGGGAAAGCCACATTGTTTATTTTATTAAATAGGTACATAAGAAGAGTTGGTAATAGTTGCAATAGTCTTTCACCTTAACTACCACTATGTACATTTGTTTTACATTAGGGATTTAGAAAGAAAAAAAAACAAATTGTCAGATTTGAAATTAAAAATTCTACAGATAAAAGCCTTTTTAATAGCGAAATGAAGCTTGTTTCAGCAGCCATGCACATTATCTACAGAATACAAAACACAATCTTCAGTCATTGGCCGTATATGCAGAATGGCCTTGTATTCATCTTCACATTTTTTAATACAGTATAATCTCAAGGAACAATCTGTGTATCACCAAAAAAAATTAGAAATATCATGGCAAGATTATCTCAATGTCTGCTCAAGCAATCACAGTCATGCTTCACATTCTCATTTTTCATAGGCCCAATCTTGCAACAAGAATATTATCTTAAACCTGTACAGCATCCCAATTCTGTAGACCAGAGGGGTCCCAAACTTTGGTACACATACCCCTGGGGTATGAAAATATCTCTGGGGGGTATGTGGGAGAAATTGCATAATGCCAGATTTGTCATTTTAATAATAAATTAGCATTTAAGGGGTTAAATTATAAAGCATATGCTCGTAGGGGTACGTGGGCATCTGGTAGATTTGTATGGGGTATGCAATAAGAAAAGGTTTGGGAACCTCTGCTATACATAACTTGTTCATTAAGTCCTCAATCCTGCTTCCACCAAATTTAACAGAAGCAAGAATGAATCCTACCAAAAAATATGCAACACTCCTCCCCACCTGGCAGAAAACAGTCAGGGATGTGAATGCTTTCATAAATACTGATACTCATCCAGATCAATCACACAGACTTCTTCAGCTTTATATACAGCCCTAAATCATGTCTAAAGCAAAAAGATTATCAATAAGCAATTTTAAAATAATGCCTCCAATTAAGTTAAGGCTTGATGTTTTTCTCTTACAGAAACCCTTCAAAATTAAAAAAAAAAAAAATTCCACCTGAAGCCTGGATAGTTCTACTTCTGTCTTATCATCCACTAATTTAATACATGTATGTTTCATCTAAGGCAAGACATAGGTCTAAATATCATTAAATCATATCATCTAGAGACAATTTACTGAAAGACTGATCAAAGAAACATGATTCTCTAGCTGCCATTTAACAGAGGTCAAATGCTAAATGCACACAACTTAAACATCACTCATTACAGCCAATGAAGTCAAACCTTTTCAAAGTTTAGGTCTACTGACAAAGCAGTAGCTGCCTTATTTTTTTCCTGCTACACTACTAGGTGTCCTAATTTTCCCATAAAACAGTTAAAATTTAGCAACACTACACAATGCAGACACAATAGAATGATAGAAGATAAGGGCTGGAAGGGACCTCAGGATGTCATCTAGCCCAGGGGTTTTCAAAGTTTTTGGCTGCATACCCATCCACCTCATATCCCCTACGCCTGATGCTTCTGCATATAGTTATCAACAACATGTAGCAACACTGTTACTTACCACTATAAATTAAACTTCTAGCAAAGCATCACCACCTCCCCAAGGGGTACAGGTATCCCAGTTTGAAAAAAACAAAACAAAAAAAAAAATGATCTAGTCCAAACCCCAGCCAAAGGCAGCAGCATCACACCTACCTGAACCATCCGGGACAAGTGTTTGTTTAAAAAAAGCTTTGAGAACAACTACCAGGCAACATGACCAAAACATCACAAACACCCTACCTTGACACAAGTGAAGAAAGGGGATGAGGACACTGTCGATGTCCTGTTACTGCAAGAACAGGAAATAATTGCTGAAAAGGACATCTCCTAATAAACGAGAGATAGTCCCAATACATTCTCTCTCTCCTATTTTTCTGGATCGCTCAAGAGCTGGTAAACTTTCACTTATTCTACTCATTTCTTATGTTATTAACAGTAGCAGTGGTTGTGATAATAGAAAGCAGATGTTGCTATCACTTGTGTTTAGTGAAACCTCTAAAGAGATCAGAACTTTGGCCATTTAAAATTATCTTTAACCGAGGCTTTAAAAAAAAAAAAGAAAAAAGAAAAGAAAAAGCATACAAGCATATACCATGGTATCCATCAAAACTTGATCTGCCACCACATTTTATATCCTTGTTAAAAATACAATATTTTAAGAAAGCATATTAAATATTTTGTATGACATTTTCAAAGGGTAAAGTTAAAAAAAACCCAAACCGGTAATTCTAAGTCAAGAATGAACAGCATGCAGTTGCATCATACAGGGATCCTTGTTTTCTTAGTTTAAAAATCACCAGTTTTCTGATAAAAACCCCAAATTCTCAGATCAACAACCTCAAAAACCCCATTTTTCTGTGATTAAAATGAAATGCCATGATATATTTACAACTTGAAAGCAATTTGGAAGCCTACCAGTGCCTCAATCATTATAACAAAATACATTCTAAATACCTATATATTTGGAGAGGTTTATCATTAAAAAAAAAAAAAATCAGAGCTCTCCCTGGCCCTTCATTCACCAACATGCAAGTTCCCCTCCTGCTTTGTTGTGCTGAGCACCCTGCCCCTGCCTTTACCACTCGCTCCTGGCCCACAGCCTCCCAGCCCAGCTGATGCCCATCACTCCCAAGCTGCAGCCCCACTGGCCCTGCCAGCAGCCCTCACTCCCAAGCCACAGCCTCCCAGCCCTCCAGCCCTACCGTTGCCCCTCATTCACAACCAACAGCTCCTGGGCCCTGCTAGTGCCCCTCGCTCCAGACCCACACACCCCAGGCCTGCCAGTGCCCCTCACTCCCAACCTACAGCCCCCAGCCCTGCCAATGCCCCTCACTCCCAACCTACAGCCCCCTGAACTCCCAGCTTTCCATGTCCCCAACCCTGTCACTGCTGAGCAATCAGGGGACACCTTGCCATGGTGGTGTGGCCAACATGGGGATCCCGGCAGCAGCACCAAGTCAGCCTGCCCAGCTGTGCTGCAGAGGCCCTAGGGGGAGGACAGCAGCGCAGGGAGCCCTGAGGCCGCAGCAGGCAGCCTACTTCTGCCCCACCACATGCACAAATCTGGGGGCATGTGCCCCCGCCCCCACTGCCTACCTCCACAGGAGCGCATGCAGCGGCAGGAAGCCAGCCCCCCTGCCCCTGGACAAGCCACAGTGGCTCTGTCCCTCCCCCTAGCCAGGCCCTGCAGACACGCATTCCCGCCCCAGCCCCATGCACCGCCCTGGCTGGACAGAACCCCAGCCCTGCCCTACTCCCTCCCTCCCCATGGGGGCCTCAATCTCCCCTTCCCCTCCCCTTCCATAGGCTTACTTACGGGGGAGCTTCTCTCCACACTGCCTGGCTGCTATGTGCATGTATGCAGGCACACCCCTACCTGATCACCCTCCTCCCACCCCCAACCCCAAACAGCCCCTTGCAGGCTGGAACTCTGCCAGACTGCAAGGGGAAACCTGTTGCTTCCCATGTTCTTCCCCCTTAAAAGAGGAGAACTCCATGTTTTTCTTTCATGAACAGAAAACCTGGATCCCCGATCATGAACAGAAAAAAAAAAAATGTAATATAAACCTATGTCCAAATACTTAGCTAAATTCGTCTATATCAGTGCTTTAAAGTACGCTGTAAACTGATTTCTGCTTATTTTCAGGCCGACTATAAATTATACCCCCATCCTGCCAACCCTAGCAAACACATTTACCCCCACTGAAATGTAACTGCAATCACTTAAAAGGGTACACACAAACGAGTCTTTTCACAGTCCAGGCACAGGTCAGGAGTCAATGAATATTCATAATAGCTATACACTTAAATTAGTAAGTTAAGAACTTATTGGTTTATCTAGGGCTTCTTTTTTTAAAGTATTTATTACCAGGACTCTGTTCCATTTACTGTTTGTAACTTTAAGTATTTAATGTTAATTACTAAAGATATGTATATACACAATTATCATAATTTCTATATTCTTAAACCAAAAAGTCATATACAGGGACCTACTTAATTTACAGTTTCATGACGTTCATGAAAATCATTAAATCCAAGATTGTCTGCAAAAGTCAACAACAACAACAAAATTTTTTAAAAATAAACTAAAATGCTGGCTGAAATTTAAGTAAGCCCCTAACTACATAAAGCTAGAAGTATACTTTAGTAAAGCAATGTATGACGTTAACCTTTATTTAGGCAAAGTTCTTGCCCTTAAAACATTTTAAAAAATTATCATCAATTTAATACAAACCTAGGCCTCACTTCTACAAACACATACTTCATTTTAATCATGAGTCACATGATTAACTTTGTTGGAACTAGTCAAGTGATTAATTCATACTAGTGTAACTTTACAGCAGCAGAACTCTGTACAATAACAACAAATTAAAAGAGACAGCTTTCATTTACAAAATTAATTTTAAAAAGTGTTTAACCTTCAGACTGGAAAAAACCTTAAAAAACTAAGAAAGGAGAGGGAGGGAAGGAAGGAGAGAGGAGGGGTGGAAACCCACTTGGACCTGTAAGGCTCAAGAACTAAAAGCCAAGGATTTTTTTCTTATACAAAATCAGAATTAAGCAAATCATAATATTAAAATATCTAAAACTGATGGTACTGTTAGACACACGTGTATAATCTTGCCAAACTGAATGAGGCTTGTGAAAATAATTGTACACATAAGCTCCACCACTAGGAAGGCTTGCACCCAGTGCTGGAACTTTAGGAATGTCACCTTATTCCCAGTTTTTGTTTTAGGGCGATTACACGGCAAGTCTCCAGCCCTGCAAACATTTACACAAAAGCATCATTATG